GAGAGGCTATTGAAATTAACAGATTAGAGAACATGTTGAATGTGCGGAATTGTGGTAGAAAGTTGAGTATAAACTACTTATGCTTGATTGATAGATTGAAAAAGAGACAGGGTGTTGAGCTGACATATAAAAGAAGGCAACTCAACTTGTCTGCTCAGTGATGGTTTCAACTTTACTCACACTTGTCCAACATGTTAGATTAAGCTCATCAATCAAAGCAAACGTACCAGATTACACAGCCCCAGTCATGTCTTTCATTGGGTGGTTAAACATTAATGACCCTAGATTAAGAGGTTAGAAAAAGTGGTTTCGTAACTTGAATTACACACTTACAAGCTTACATCTCATTATCCCAACCATACTTGCTCACAGACTTACACGGTCTCGGCCAGGGCCTTTGTTTGGGTCATTAAACCTTGATGACCAGAGCCTGAAATTAGCCTTTTTTGATCACTCTGATTTAGGACCGATATCGAATATATACGTTAACATACACACAAACACACACCAGAAAAAGTTTCAATACCAGTATGAAAGATAATTGGCCAAACCATTCTATATCTCTCCATGCCTGTTTATTTTCGTTTTGGGTAATGGGTATATATAAGAGGTTAGATAGATCAGGATAGTCTTCTTGACCTAGTATTAACGTGAAACCTTTACAAGAAGGATTTCCAGCTCTGATGATATCCATCATATGATGGACGCAAGCCAGCCCGTTTTCATATGAAACGAAGGAGGATGTCTTCTGGACTGCACCAACCTAAATGTCGTAGTAAAGCCAAACGGCTGCAGTACATTTGGATTCGGCCTTCGTCTTCTGGTGAGATCAGCCCACGAATCTCTTCTTCATGCATTTAAATACGAAATGAAGGTTTCTTCTACGAACCTTTATCTGCTATCGGCAAAATTACTATGTTCAGAATGAGAATGCTTTCAAAATATGTGTAGATCTTTCATAGTAACTTTCATATCCTCGAGATCTACCCTAGATGAGAACATCTTCCATGGGACATGACTTGACGAAATCCAATGGCATAATGTGACCTTCTGATATCCTTGTGGAAAATCCAACTATCAGTCCATAATTTACCTTAAAAGAACTATGGTAACTCAAATCATCTTAAAGATACGCTTATAATTTTGAAATTTATTCATTCGATATATAGATATACCATCAATTGTAAGGGCAAATACAAGTTCCCCTCATCTATAATACCACTGTAAATGCCGATTGGGAGAGGCATGGCTTGGAATTCATTTCTGCCCGTGACTAATGGCGTCTATAGCTTTGTCACCAAGTGGTAATATATCTTAACTATATGCGCTTGATCCGGTTTAGAATTCTTTATAAGGTGTGGAGGAAACCTAGGCAGGGTCAGAATTGCAGTCCATTTTGGTTGAGAAATTATTTTTAGAGACAAATTCAATTGTATCTTAAAGCCTACTTGTGCAGTTTAGCCTTAATAAAACGACGGATACATATTGGTTAAGTTTGATTAATCATCAATTTCAAACGTATGAATATAAATGATCTAATCGCAGCCCGATAATATTTTAAAATAAACAGACATTATTTAGGAAAGATATTTATTTATTTATTTAAAATCCAAAAGTCTCGTTAAAATCGCTTGATTGATCATTTCATGGTTTATTAATTTAGTTTTGCTACATTCGCGACACTCCCATATGCACTTTGTTTATTATTCCTAATTCAATATAACAATTATAATGCACCTTTTAAATAGAGTTTAGGTAGATGGCCTATGAAGCCCTTTTAAAGAAGAAAAATGATCGAGGCCTTTTATCAAATTTAGTAAATTGCGATGTTGATTTGATCTAAGCATCAGTAACATAATTTATGTTTTGAGGCTCAGTTAGTTACTTGCATTCAGAGACGTTTTTATAAATTTTAAAACATGTAACACTTGAAATGGATCACATAGCATAATCCATTTTTAACCAGCTTCAATTTGTTTTGGCGCGCAAGAGTTACGACAAAATATAACGTTTTTTAGTATATTGTTTATGTACTTTGTGATAACCAAAGTGTAGTATCAACAGACCACTTATAGAACTCCTCTCTATCCATGATATAGATAATGTGACTTGGCTTTGAAATTGGCTGGTTACCAAGCTTAGGCGATCAATACTATTAAGAAGGCTTTTACAAATATCAAAATAATGCATGCTTGAAATATGAAGTCGTTTTAGGATGAATCCAATACTTAGATGATATCTATCTGAGGCCAAAATATTGACATACTTGATTCTCGATGCTTAGAAAGTGATTTCTGATTATGACTTCTTCAAGAATTCCACAATGCTTATTTATTCTCTCGTCTTGTTATACCGAATATCATGAAACCATCCTATGTGATTTTTTTATTTTATTTACAACTGGCTTACGAATAATATAATGAAACACTGCATCATGACGCACCTCTGATACAATCTTTGCTTCGTATTTAGGAGTTTTGCTTTGAGCACGATCCTTTGCATTCATTTTCTGACGGAAGCTTTGCCTTGGCATCGACCTATCTTAAAGCAAGTGAAAGGTGATTTTAATAAAGGTCTTTCGTTCTAAAGGTTTTTGTCACACCACAGGCGAAAGTCTGGCCAAGACTCACTAATGCCGAAGAAAGTTGTCCTTGGGGCTGCAAAGGTCAAAACATCTATATTGCCAAGAGAAGATACACAGAACGAAAGGCAATCACCAGTCCTCTTCCGGTTAAGCTGATCTACAAATCCTTCTTTATTATGTGCATGTAAACACACAAGCACACATACACATGTATATTACAGTATTCATGGCTATTCAGAAAGTTCTGTATACGCGGATCTGTGTAGATAGGCTTTTAGTCGGCTGGTTTGCATTGATGTTTAGCACAAAGACACTTTGAATGAACTCTATGTTGCCCATCGTTTCATGTTGCTATGGCTAGAGAATGACACGATACTGTTCTATGTAGATTTTAGTATAACTGATGCGGCTACTGTCTGAGCCTTAAATAACCACTGCAAAGTAAATTTTCTTCTTAGTCCTCCTTATCACCTCCGAGTGCACTTCCATTTCAATCTCTAGCTTCTCTTTTTACTCCAGCATCCTCGCTGTCTTCAGAACTCTTGCTCCTGTATTGCCATATTTTCTCCTCTGTCCTGCTTTCACATAGTTTGTCATTTCGCATTCCTTCTGCCCTATTCACGTTCATGCTGCCAAGCAATTGCGGGCCGCAGAAGTAACTAATACACACTTCAAATCCTGAAATGCGCGCATCAGTTGACTACTTCTCAATAACAACCCCAGTCAGTTCATATGCTCGTATATGGCATAATTTATATAATTATATAACGTGAGACAGCACATATTTTTAGAACTGCGACCAATTATGTGCCTTCATTTATTTTCTCGTCCATTATATCCTACTGGCTCAATAGTTTTGGCTGTCGTTTCAGCCTACTGGAGCAGGTACATCTGATTCGGTTCCTGCAGGAACAAATAATTTTGGCTTATGTGTAGATGAAGCAATCTCGTCCAATTTGCTTGAGGGCAATGGGCCTGAGCGCGGTCAGTACCATATGCGGCGATGCAGAGCAGGTTAAAGCTGGCCAAGGATGGGCTGGGCTATGCGAGATTGGCTGGGACTAAAAGAGGCAACCTCAGGCCAACATGGGCCTAGCGGAACAGAACAGAGCAAGACAAGCGTACGAATGATCGTAGGAGCAGTTAGACAAAAGTGGGAGAAGCGAGGAGAGTTTGGGCGAGGCGAGTCGAGCTGCAGTTGGATGAGGGTAGACAAAGCCTAGAAGAAACAGAGTGGGGCGGATCTTGTTGAGACGAGTCGAATCGAGGACAATTGAGGCGAGGCTAACCCAGATGAAGGCATGTGATGCGAAACGACCATTGGCTGAACGGGTGTCAATGAAGTGAAATAAGGTGGGACGAGTCAATCTGAATACAGAAGCACAAAACAGACTTGATGCAAGGCGAAACGCGATGAATGATGCCCACAAATTTAAGGTTGTAGCACTTTCATACGATCTAAAATAAAAAACCTGCTCTAAAAAGAGAAAAACATGCAGACATTATCATGTAATATAAACAACTGGTGCGCATTGGTTTGCCTCATCTAATGTGGCCTCATGCCACTTTGTTATTTACTTTTTATATTTTTCTCCTTTAACTTCATCAATTTATTGAAGCTACTTGCCCTCTTTGAGCTCCGTTTATCCATCCAAGCATTATTTGTTGCTATTCATACCAAAGGGGCCTGTCCTTTGCATTGCTGCATGCGTGTACTGAAGGGATACATCTCCA